CCACAAAACCGCTGGAGGGAGGAGGGCCCGTGTCCCTTCCTGCCCTGGGGAGGGGGGATGTGGCGCTGGTGGGTTCCTGACCTGCTTGTGTCTCTGCCAGGGGCCCTGGTCCTCATCCATGGAGAAGTGGTGCACAAGAGCAAGCAGAACCTCTCTGACCACTCGCGCCAGGCCTATACTTTCCACCTCATGGAGGCCTCTGGTACCACCTGGAGCCCAGACAACTGGTAGGTGACAGGGAGGGTGTGTGCGCCCGACAGTCCCCTGGAGGCTGGGAGCAGTGACCCTGCACCTCAAGGTTATCTCCTCTATCTTCTGCAGGCTCCAGCCAACAGCTGAACTGCCCTTTCCCCCACTGTACACCTAAAGGCTTTCACAGGGCAGGAGCCCTGGCCCCTCCCGGGTGAAGCTGTGGGCTGCAAACAGCAGCGTCTTGCTCAGCCTCTTGGTTGCAACAGGGAGGTCTTGTCTCCCCTCCTGGGCTTTCCTCCTGCCCTGTGGGCAGCAGCCTGGGCTGGGTCAGGAGCTTCCCTAAGATCTTCATCTGTCTGCCTCCCTACTGCCCCAACATAGCCTTGAGGAGGCTTCTCAGCCATCAAAGGGTTCTGGCTCCTTCTCACTTTCCTCTCCTCTCAGATGGAACTCTGGTTATTATGGTGTTAGTTATTGAATAAAAATGACTTCAGAATGCAGCTTCCTGACTGAGCCTTCTTTCCCAAGCAGCATTGCTTTCCAGACAAGAAAACTGCTTTCCAGGCCGGGTGCAGTGGCTCACGCCTGTAATCCCAGCACTCTGGGAGGCCGAGGCAGGCGGATCACCTGAGGTCGGGAGTTTGACCAACATAGAGAAACCCTGTCAGTACAAAAAATACAAAAAATTAGCCAGGTGTGGTGGCGCATGCCTGTAAACCTAACTACTCGGGAGGCTGAGGCAGGAGAATAGCTTGAACCCAGGAGGCGGAGGTTGCGGTGAGCCGAGATCACGCCACTGCACTCCAGCCTGGGCAACAAGAGCGAAACTCCATCTCAAAAAAAAAAAAAAAAAATTGCTTTCCCGACAAGATGCTAAAATGCATCCCAGGTACCCCAGCCCTGTTTGGCGTGGCTTGCATGATTTTAATAAGTAACATTTAGTGGGCACTCACTGTGTGCCCCGCTCTGTGCTGAGACCTTCACAGGCTTTATCTCGTGGAATCCTCACTAGGAGAGGTAAGTGCCATTATCATCTGTACTTACAGAAGACGACGCTGAGCCAAGGAGGGGGTAAATGACCTGCCCAAGTCACAGCTGCTCGGTTCTTCAGCAGGCTGAGCCTCATGCAGAGCCTGTGCTCCTAACCTTGACACTGCCTCATCTTCCCTTCTTGGGGAGCAGAGATGCCCAGAGCTAGGAATCCAGAGTTCCAGGTTCTGGTCCTGGCTCCGTGAGCAACTTGCTCCCTGGTCTCAGGCCAGGGCCTTTCCTTCCTCTGGGCTTGTTTCCTCCTGTGTCCAGTAAGGGGGCCAGACTAGGGCTTTCAGGGGCCCTTCCTGTTTGGGCATGCTTGGCAGGCACTCAGACCTTCAGAACAACTACCAAATCTAAAACCTTCTCAGCTGAGGTTTGGCCCAGAGGCTACAAACTGGAGACCACAGCCTGATTCCAGCCCACAGATGCATTTTTTTCTGGGCCTCAGCATTTTTTTTTTTTTTTTT